GCTACCCGGAATTTCTCGATTGATGTTGTTGTCCTGGAATCTATAGGGGGCCACCTCTTCTGAGGTTGTTGAGTCCGTTGGGCCGTGGATCCAGGGCCTGTTGTGCCGTTGAATAATAGTTTTGATGCCGGTATGGAGTTCTGTCTGGGAAGGTCCGATGGTGAACTACCACGCAAGCGGAAGAAAGCATTGGGCGGTTTGTCTGGCGGCGAGGACGCCTCCCCTTCGGTTTGTCAATGACTTCCATCATCTTCTGGAATTGTCGGGAGGCCCAGAAGAAGCAAACGGGGCACTTCCTCCGCAGCATTGTGTGTGGTAATGAGGTAATGTTTGTTGGTTTAATGGAAACAATGGTTGAGGATATGTCCAGAAAGGATTTGGACGCTCTTATTGGCCCTTGTTGGGACTTCGCTCATTTCCCTGCTAGTGGTAGATCGGGCGGCCTGCTTGCGTTGTGGAGGAATGATAAAGTTCAGTTTGAGATGGTGGAGATGTTCGATCAGGCGCTGGAGGGGCACTTGGTGTTTCCTAATTGTGAGAAGTGGTGTCTGGCGGTTGTGTACGCCGGCAAGGATTATCACACTAGACGGGGCTTATGGGAAGTCCTGAGCTCGTGTATTGATGCTGAACTCCCGGTGATTGTTGGCGGGGATTTCAACTATTTTCTGGATCAAAGTGAGAAGAAGGGAGGTAGAAGATTTGGCTTTCCGATTGGCTCTCAGGAGATGGCGGCCTTCTTGATTGATAATGACCTTCATGATTTGGGGTTCACTGGCCCGAAATATACTTGGTCGAACAACAAGACTGGAAATAGTAAGATCTGGGTGCGGCTCGATCGGGTTCTGATGAACTCCGTTGGCATTCAACTGGCTCCTTTGGCTTCGGTGCGGCATTTGCTCCGTGTGGCATCGGACCATTGCCCCCTGCTGTTGAGATTGGCGAGTGTCACCCCAAACTCTGGTTGTCGCAGGATCCGTTTTGAAGATACGTGGCAGACTTACCCTGCTACGTGGAAGCTGGTGCATAAGCTGTGGACGAAGAACGATTTTGGTGGGCCGGATGAGGTGCTCAACCGCAAGTGTTCAAGAATGCTACGTGGGCTTTTCTTCTGGAGCCAGAATCGCTTGAAGGAGCTGGATGAGTTAAAGGTGTCTCTTGAGGCTCGGATTGGCGAGCTCCAGCTCTTGGAGTGCTCCTCGGAGGGGCTTAGCCCTGTACAAGATGTTGAATTGCGGAGAGCGGCTGCTGAACTCAACTCTACCCTGGCTAGGTTGGCTATGCGGTGGAGACAACATGCTAAGACCCGCTGGATTGAGGAGGGCGACTCCAACTCCCATTTCTTCCATGCGTTTGCGTTGGCGCGGCGGAGAGGGAACCATATTTTGGAGATTCAGCGCAGTAATGGGGATCGCACGTCTGGGCAGAACTGTATCCAAGAGGAGTTTATGGACTTCTTTCGGCTCAAGTGGAAGGACAGATTGGTCATGCTGGATAATTGGCCTCTGTTCCAGCAGAATGAGGGTGTTCCGGAGTACCTTCGCAGGGAGCTGGAGGCCAATGTCTCGGATTTGGAGGTCTGAAATGCGATTTTCAGCATGGGTAACAACCGCTCTCCGGGGATAGACGGTATTAGTGTTTCCTTTCTCAAATTCTACTGGGATATTATTAAATGTGACGTTACTCGTGCTATCCTCCATTTTTTTCTGCTCTAACTCTATGTGTGAAAGCCGGAAGGACACTTTGGTCGTTCTGTTGCCCAAGTCGACAAATGCGGATACTCCGTCAAAATTTCGACCCATCAGCTTGTGCCAATCCTTCTATAAGGTTGTGGCTAAGATCCTTATCAACAGAATTAAGCCCGTGCTTGGCAACATTATTAGCGAAGAACAGGGGTCTTTGTTTCGGGGAGATCCATCTCTAACCATGGGCTCGTTGCTCAGGAGATGATGTGCAAATTCCAACACTTGTTTCAACGTGCGGGTATGATGGCGCTGAAGATCGACATGACCCAGGCGTATGACTGCTTGGCTTGGGAGACGCTGCAGCAGGTGTTATTCCGGTTTGGGTTCCCTGACCGCATTATTCAGTGGATCATGATGTGCATTGTACGGCCTCGCTTTTCGCTGTTGATTAACGGCATTCAGTCTCCTTGGATTCAGGCTTTGAGCGGGCTCCGACAGGGGTGCCCGTTGTCCCCGTATCTCTTCATACTCTGCTCGGAATTTCTCTCCAAGGCGTTCAGGCAACGTGGTGATCAATTGGGAATCCGCATTGTCCCCAATGCCGAGAAAATTTCGCACATGCTGTATACGGATGATATCCTGGTGTTCGCAGAGGCCTCCAGGCACAATGCTGCCCGTATTATGAATATTCTTGGGGATTACTGTGGCTGGACGGGGCAGTGCGTTAATAAGGAGAAATCGGCGATACTCTATAACAAGTGCTTCCCCAAGTGGAAACAGCGGATGATTACCAGGGCGGTGGGCTATCGCCGTGTAGACCACTTCGACTATTTGGGGATTCCACTGGTTATGCGGAAACTGAAGGTGGCGGATTTTGCTAAGGTTGTTCGGAGTGCACATGATAAGACGAACATTTGGGGTAAGAAGCACCTTTCGTATGCCGGTCGTGCTCTGTTGATTCGCTCGGCACTGCTCACTATCCCTGCGTACCTTCTTGCGCGTACGGAGGTGCCGAGTGGTGTGCTCAACTCTATCGATAAGCTCGGACGGAGGTTTCTTTGGCAGAAGGATTCCAATAGCAAGGGTATGCACTATGTGGGATGGAGTGATCTCTGCCTTCCGCGTGATCAGGGGGGGCTCGGTTTCCATGATTTATCTGTGAGGCGCGGCCCCCTCCGTGCTCGGCTTGCCTGGACGGTCATCAACGAGCCTAATACCTCTTCACAAGGTCGTGACTGCCAAGTACGGCCCTGATCTCTGGCAGCTATCTCGGACCCCCAGGTGCTCCTCTCCTTGGAGAATTAACCGGGAGGGGGCTGATGCTTTGTCGGCAATTCTTCGATGGCGTATCGGGGATGGTAGTCGCATCAGAATTCTTCAGGATTGCTGGATCCTGGACCGTAAGATCGAAAGGTGGCCAACGTTTGTCATTGTGGAGGAGGTAGATGATGCCCGCGTCTACCACCTTTTGACGGATTCGTTGGAGTGGAATGTGGAAATGGTG